TAAAAACATTTTCAAGTTATAGGCTAATTTAATAATTTATTCTAAAGATTCTGGAAACCCAGAACCTCTACAAGATACTAGAACTTAATATAAGTAAATCAATATGTTTATAAATCAAATTTTTTTTATATTAAATATCTTATTTTAATTATATATTAAATTCAATTAATAATTGAATATAAAAAAGGTAGACGTTCCTGAAATACCCTATACCTGACAATTTTTAGCTGTTAATCAATATTTGCAGGTGCATATCGTTTCTCTTCTCATTCTATATAAAATTTCTGTTAAATTTATGGTGTTTTTCCGAAAGTTCACTTGGTAAAAAAATAAACTTTATTAACAAAAAAATACTTTTTATTATATCCACTTTTATCGCTACATGTGGCTTCAATATAATAAAGACACCTCGAGTCAGCAGGAATAGGAACTGCTGGACAAAGGCTCGCGTGCGTGAACTCATAATTCGCAATATATTTTGAATGGAAAAAACCCTAACACCGCATGTGCAAATGTTGCGTTCCAACTCAATGGACACTTGCTGCACTCGGAACGTAGCAAAACTAGAAATGCATTGCATGTTAAGGGCAAAGATTCGTGCTGCCACCAATCCTCCATTGGCAGCTGGCCATGTGCAACGTCACATTCGTATTAGCACAATCAGTCGTGCGCAACATATCAACATTGCAGCTCTGATATCACATAGAATTGGAATGTGGAAATGAACACGCTCTAAATTACAGACCGAAACAATACAATGTATCCACAACTTCGCTTTCCAGATACGTAAGCTCAGTTCCTCATTATTTTTTCACATTAACTCTACTTATATGACAGCATTTTAATTTCATTAGATTTGCGAATGTTTGCATTTTCTATCTGCAAAAGACTTAGCCACCAGCAGGACCAACACGGTACTTTGTTCTCCGCTTCGACGTAACTTGCCACTTACGAGTTCCCAACTTGCTATTTATTTCTTCGGACGAACTTTAAATTTAATTTTACTTTTATCTAACTTTTGTTTATTTATTGGGTTATTTTTAATCAGTGCAGCACACACCAATCAATGACTTTCTGCCAAGGATTCTGCATCGCAATCCTTTCGGGTGGACTCCTGCTTGTTTATTTGCAAATCTGAACTTTGCCGCAGACCTTTATTAGAACTTGTCAAAATGACACAAAAAGGTTTCACACATTTCAGCATTGGAGGTGTTGGCCCAAAAAAATCACACAAAGTACCGAAACTGATTTTTGGAAATGTTATCAATAGTTTTTTGTCAGCTTATGGAAAATTTGCCCGGCAACTTTGCTTGTTTAACCCATTTCGGGCCATCGGCAGTGTTAGTTTGTCGCTTTTGATTTTGAGGAGTGAACACTGATTTGTGTGAAAAGGGATTTTTAATGATGTTTGGTTTCCCAACGTCAATTATGTACACAAAGAGGAAACTTGTTTGCCAGCTTGTTTTTTCCGAACTGAACTGTGTAGTTCGGACGATGGAAAGGTTTGGCTTGAGGAGCAGTGACTGAAATTTCTGGTTTGGGACCGAATTTATCATATTTCATATTCTAGTATTAATCATCTGCTGACACCTGCTAAAAATGTTATCATTTGAATGAAATTTGGTTTGTTCTTTTAGGGTTGCTGCTTAATGAGCTGAAAACTTATATAGAGGCATTTATGCACCACAAAGTACATAATTAAGGATTATTAATTAAAAACTCTTCTTGTTTAATGTTGTAGATTCATCAATGCTTCTTTCAGACGGAGATATCCAAACAAGCACGTTTCTTTTATTTTCTTTTGTTATGCACAAAAATTTTATTAAGTAATAGTAGATAATGACACATAGGTATAATAAAAAATATATCATTTCCAAATATACTACCGCAATATACCGTATACAACACAACAACCGACTAGTAATACATATGTTTAAGAATATACAAATTATTTTATGTTCAGTTTCAATAACCTCCAAACATTCTCCGCTTTCTCAAAAGAAGTCGAACATTTTTGTGAAACATCGGCTTAGAAGTCACAGTACACTGGACCTTCATAGACTAAGCGTTGTGTGTCTCTTTACAAATCATTTCTAAAAAGTGATTTAGTGGCTTAAAGCCTCTCATGGCGTTTTTTATTACTCCCCGAAATTTAAATTTAGTTCACAATTTTACAATATGAATCGTTTAACAACCGCTGAACTTTTTGAAATTGCGAAAACGTACTACAAAAATGATAATTCGGCACTTGTAATCCGAATGTAATTGTCAAAAGACCATTGCATCCACAAAAAGTTCTTCAATGTTGAGACATTTAGTCTGGGGTTTGAAAAGCAGGCTGAGTTTTTAGAATGATAATGGTGTGCTATAACCGCAAATACTGACTACAGTTCATCTACATTACCAAGTCTTTTAAGCATTAAATTGAAAAAACAGATGTTGAAGACATCTAGTTTCAATAAGACGATGATATTAGCCACAGAATTGGCTTTTTTGCGCATGAAATTTTTGATTTCATATATCAGCACTGAACTTTTTTTTGTGAGGTTAAGTAGAAGATCGTGTTTATGCAAGCGATCCTCATTCTCTTGACGCTTTAAAAACGAACAACCATTAAGTTATGGCCACATAGCGACTTATTCCAGCTATATGTTATTCCCAGCTATATGTTATATTCACAACCAATAGCAAGAATAAAAGTTAATTATAAAATTAAAGTTTAATCGAAATCTTATTTACATTAATTTTCAGAATCATGAATTAGATAATCCTATATGTGTTGAGCTATGCGTACTTGGTTAATAGTTATGCCAGCGTTTAGAAGCCAGCCTCAGATTAGTTATGGATATACAAAACTTTTTAGTTCAGAGTTTTGTATATTCTGAGATTCAGTTTTCAATATACTCTAAAATACAAATTTTGTTGACGATGCCAATATTTGGAATAAGTCCACTCAATTTTTAATCTATTTCATATATCCGAAATGACAAATGCAAATTAATAGTCTTACCTAAATATCTTAACCTTAAGAGTCTTAACCTATCTTAAAAATCTGGCTTTGTTAATCCTTTAAGTAAGTTAAGAAAGTTATCCATACTTAAGTTAAACTAAAATAATTTAAACCCCAAGTTTTAATAGCTGACAATGAAAATCATATTATGGGATTTGAAATATATTACGTATCTTATGTTGCGTATGAAATGCAATTGATTTAATGTGATATTCATTTTATCATATTTGATTATCCTTTGTAATTTTGTCAAATTCACGATATTAAAACAATTTATAGATGTTTCCATGTTAACACATTAGCCGTCCGGCACTACATAACTTCCTGCTGGACTCAGCTTTTATCTAAAAAATCAAGAACTTCTTATATAGAGAATATTCAAATTATTGGAAACATTAGTTCCTATCAGCGTTGTGTATTTCAAATAAACCAGTACCAAACGTGGGTACGTGGTATTATTTATACTTAGTCTTAACAATTATTTAAATCCAGAAGTGAAAAATATAGACCCGACGATCGCAATGCCACATCCCATTGCAGTAATAATAATAACTATTTTGTCTAATGTAAATTGACTTTAAAAATCAAATATTTCCGAATCTTATTGGTCGAAATATGTTGGTTCTTAAAACTGTACTCTAATACTATATTCTGATATTTCATTAAAATTCATGATTCCTGAAGTCTGATTGGTTCAGTTGCTTACTAAGACATATTGAAAAGTTTTAAAATTTTATTCGAACTTAACTAAAGCAGTTAATGACCGATCAAAAGCGTTAAAAATTACAGAAACAATTAAGAAGTTTAATTTAAAAAAAAAATTTAAATATTGTAATATATCCAACATGAGAAATATTCGCTTAAAACAATCATTATTTGAATCCCACATTTAAAACGAAATTTAAGGGAAAATTAGTGCTATTGTGTGTGATGATGCATCAAGTTTGCCACGTATTTTTTTCGCGCTTATAAATGGAAAAACTTCTGGAAAATTTCAAAGCAATTAAGCTTTTTTCATAAAAATGTAATATGTTTTGAAGTGCAGAGTCAACAATATTCAGCAAAACAGTAGCGCGGCTCCGAGTGGCACTTGAAGAGCGCGTGAAAAGCAAGACTGCAATATATGAGATGAGTCCACCCGCTGCACGTTGCACTGCTACTAGTACCAGATGAATACACCACAGTAGCTGAGATATATGAACTTTCAACCTTTATCATTGCTAACCTCACATAAATGCTTTGAAAGGAACAATACTCCTTCAAACTTTGGATTTCCATGCCAGAGTGCAGTTGCCACCACCTTTAATTATAAGTTTATCCCTCATATAAGCTATGTCTAATTGTGAAATGTACGTGTGAGCGAGTTTATTTAATAAAAATAAAAAAATTACTTAAGTAAACACTTCACACGTGTACTTCTTAGTCAATTTAGCAAAGTGATTAAGAGTGCACTCAACTGCTAATTATATTATTTATATTGCCAACATCATTCCAAAAACTTCCATTTCAGTTTCTCGAAAAGTGGCGGATCTCTTTTGTCATTGGGTCAACTGAAGTTAGTTGAATGCAAGACATCTTTTGTTTGATTTATAGCTAAGTATAAGTATCACACAAAGTCATATGATGGTATGGAGATAGCATCTTTAAGCAGAAGTAGCCCTGCAAAGTATTTCAATTTGTCATTCCATTTTCCAACAATGATTGTTACTTTACAAAGTTAACAATCTCTTTTGATTAAAATTTTTTTTATTACTTTTAAAATTAAGTAAGTAATTTAAGTAATTTAATATTAGTAATTAATTTGTATTTAACGTTAATTCACTCTACCATAATAGATTACAAATCTGAAGTATCTGTTTATACTTTATTTCGGTGTATAAAAGTACTGATGTTTATGAGTTACCGATTGAATCTATGGCAGCGATAATTTCTTTAAATGAAATAAAATTTTTAATTAATTTTTATAAATTTATTTCACATATTCTTGACAAATCATGATGCATATATATATTAATTTATTCTAAGCTATTAGTTAGAGGACTTCTACTATTATAGTATACGAGTACTTGTATCTTATCAAATGTACGATCACGTTACTTAAATAAAGTTTAATAAGCCATTGTAATCTGGGACTTTCAATACATTTCTACACTAAAACTGAAATATTTTGCCACTTGAAGTACAAATCTTATAAATTTAATCTATTATCACAGTAAATTAATTTTAACATTTCTTAATGCACAACATAACATTCGAGAGGAGCCTACACCCCCCACTGCATATTTAATTTAATCAGTCGAGTGCGCTGCATCCGCGCCATTACGGAGTGGCAGTTCCGGTGGAAGCGGCGAGGTTCTAAACGGCACCTGTGGCAGCGGCTGCTCCACGGCTTGGCTGTAATTTGCATTGGTGTAGATGTAGCTGGGTTCATTAGACTCATTTCTCGTCAAACCGAAGTGGCCGATGTGATGTTGCTCGAAAGTGGGATGCACGAACTGCATTTCGTTATTGTTGCTATTAGCTCCATTTGAGTACATTGTTGGTACGTCAATATAGGAGTAATATGGCTCAGCAACAGGTGACATATTACTTACTTTCTCGTGACTATAGTCGCCCGTACTTGGTATTTGGAGCTGCTGGAAGTTCTGCTTATTAGGATTTGCTTCATTGCTGTGGTTGGGGCAAACATCGAAGTAATTCGTAGAGGAATGCGGTGGTGTATAGGTGTTTGGAAATGACGACACAATACCCATATTGCGGCTAAGATTACGGTGACGTGTAGCGAAGTCATCGTCGCATACAGTTTTCTGGTATTCCCGTTTTTTGTTGTCTTCCGTTTCCTCTTTACAAAGTACAGATTTAAGTTGTTGTTTCAAATTCTTTCGATATCGATAAGTAAAGAGAGCTAATGTTGTTAGAGTGGCCACAACACCAACAATTAGTGCACCAATCAAAGTTTGCCTGCGTGGATCAGCTGTTGTGCAACCTATTGAAATGGTGTCTACGTCTTTTAGAAATTTGCCTTGTAAACTCTTAGGAAATTTGCACTGCACATCGGCAATGGTCGATTCACTTCCATTTTTCTCTCGTAGAAGTTTGTGCATCCACATTAAGCGACAGTCACACACTAAAGGATTTTCACTTAAATCAAAAGTTAATATATTTTGTAGATTCATTCCTTGCTCATCGAACGTATTCAGTGCATTGTTTCTTATCAGAACATGGCGTAAGTGAGGCAAGCCACTGAGAATTTCGGGTTGCAATTCATTCAAGTTTCTATTGGAGGATAAATTGATGTATTCCAAATTTGTATTGCCATTAAAAGCGCCATTCAGGATGCGTTTTAGTTCCAATGCACCATTTATTTCCAAATGTTTTAGTTGCTGTAGACTGCCGAAAGCATCTTTTTGTATGATTTCAAAATTATTTTCACCGATGAAAAGTTCTTCTAATCGAGGCAAATGTTGAAAACTTGCGCTTGGAACTTCTACCATATGATTGTCTGATAAGTCCAATGTACGCAACATTTCTAAACCTTCAAATGAGTTCTCCGATATGTTGTACAACCCAGAACTGCGTAGGTTCAGACGCGTTAGACGTTTTAAGTCCTGAAAAGAGTGTGCGGGTAATGTTTTCAGCAGGTTCATTCCTAAATACAGTTCCGCCAAATTTGTAAGAGGATAGTATATCACTGCATCCAGCGGGGACTTCAAACCATTATCATCTATATATAATATACGTAGATTTAATAATTGGTCGAAGGCTTTGGGATGAATAACCTCAATGCGGTTCTCGCCTATATTAAGTTCTTCAATATTTTTCAGGGGTGTGAAGGTACTTTCTTGCAACTCCGTAATGAGATTACCGCGCAGATTTAAAATCGTGACTGAAGAAAGTCCAATAAACGTTTTGTTACTTATCTCTCCGACTTTGTTATTGCTTAGATTCAATTCCAGTAAGTTTCGCTGGTACGCAAATGTACGTTGCGGAATGGCCATTAAGTGATTAGACGACAAATCCAGGTGTGTTAGCTCGGAGTAAAACTGTATGGATGAGTCTATAGTTTTGATTTTATTTTTCTGTATGATAAGACGTTGAATGAATGGATTTAACGTTATTGGTAGAACATCCAAATTTCCCTCATCGCAGTATACGACAAGTGTTTTATCGTCGCAGTGACATTCCGGTAGGCAACTGACAAGGCTACAGACTGCATTAGCAAAGAGGAGCAAGGCCAGACTGAATGCTATAAACTTCTGCATTGTTGAGTTTTGGGCATTTGCAAATTTCGAAATTTTGAATTTATTTTTGCATTAATTTTGAAATTCTTTCCCGATAATTGGATATATTAAGGCCATTAAAGCGTTATAAACACAACAAGTTTTGCTTTTAATATTATTTTTTGATTTTATTACACTGAGCTTATACTCGGAAACCCATTGCACATGTGCGCATTTGCTCATTTACGATTCCACTGAACGTCTCGTTTCTGGCACAATTCTCAAGCACTTATTTTCTTGAACTTCGACTTTTTGCCTTCGTTACAAACGTTCCAGTTCAAAATTTTTTTTTTAATAAAGTTAATTCGTTAAGACGTTATCGATCACGAACACAACCGTTTACTACAGAGCCACAAACTTAACTGGTTAAATAATCCACCGAAGAAGTCATGGCAAGTGAACCCTTTCTCAGGCAAACACAATAGAAACCAGTTTGCAGAACTGTCGCACTCTCCGCTAACTTCAAATTTCGCTCTCATTCAAGAGAGCTGATCATGATCAGTAAAAGTGATAAATCCGGTTTATGCCAAGCTACAAACAACACTTGCAGAAAATGTTTGAAGTAGTTTACAATGTATTCCTGCAGATGACGCTGCAATCAGTAGATATGTTTAAAACTGGTTCTCTTGTAAATTGTATTACCGATCTGTGAGAACTCCATTATTTCAAATATATACAGAGGCGTATATATATAAATGCATGCACTAAAGAATGCTTTGTTGCAAATCAATTAACATTCTGTTAGTTTAACAGCTGCTAAATTGTGGGAATTACTTTCACAGAAATTTAACAGTCCTCAGTATAATTTTTTTTTGTATTTTAAGTTAAATAATTTTATATATTTTAAGTGTTAATTTGCTATTTAATTAATTATTAATAAAGTGTTATTTAATTAAAACATATGCTTTTTACATTTGATATCATTCTATATCTCGATTCGCAGCATAATATTGTTAATTTTGGCTCAAATGAAAAGACTTTAAAAAAAGGATGCTACAAAATACGTACTGCCTTATAAATAAATAGATAAAATTCATTTAAAAAATAATCTGTGAATTATTAGAATTAGTTTTGGGTTAACAACTGAATAAATATTAATAGGTACACCTACTGCGATTTCTGCTGCATTCAAATTCTTAATTGTTATTAATTACTTAATCTTAATTACTTAATTACTATTGTTTTATATTCTAAATTTATTGTCAAAATAACATGAAATAAATAATTATGGTCCTTTATAATTTCAAATATCAAGCACAAGTAATTATTCCATAAATAACAAAAGTATGTAAAATAAGCTTACTTATTTTTCTTTTTTGAAGAGTTGTGTTTATATTTCTAAGTTTAAAAATATAAATAAAAATTTAGAAAAAAGAAATCACAATTTGTTTTTGCAATAATTTTTTTTTTTCGATATTTCGACTTTAGTCTAAAGTAATCTTCAGGACATCTAATCAACATATTCAAATACTAATCAATATATTAATCCATAGTGGTGGATTAGAGCATAAATGAATGTGTATATATATATATTTATATATGTACTTGTTTATTGATGTATAATACTTTTATATATCTGGGCACGGTTGCCAACATCAGTTTTAAAATTGATCCTTGTGTGAGGTGTAATAATTAAAATTGCGAGCAGCTCCAAAAAGTATCGTTTACGATGATTATTTTCTTAGTGTAGAATTTTCACATTTTCTAAATCAGGGCTCATGGTGCGAAGCAAGGGCTATTTTGGCTTCCAACCGACCTTATTTTTTATGCTGTGTTCATGACCAGCCATTCTAGTTTTTAATTTATTTTTGGTCGTTCCGACATATACTTGGTCACATACGTCGTACCCGTCACCTTTGCAACTGATTTGGTATACTACGTTTGATTTGTCCAAGTTATTTATTTTTGTTTTTAAGTTGGAATACAGTGCGTTCATCGTATTTCCAGATCTTAGTGTGATATTATAATTTGATTGATCATAAATATTAGATGTCAATATTTGGTTAGAGAGTTTAGGAGCTCTTTTTATCATATTTTTTGCTGTATTTTGCACTACATGGTATGGATGGTTTGAATAAAAATTGATGATTCTGATGCAGTTGGTTTTTGATACCATTTTGTAAAGATGTGATTATTATGTCTCAACAATTTGATATCAAGATAACGAAGAATATTATTTGTTTCTTATTCCATAGTAAATTTATTATTTTTGTGGAAGTTATTCAATATTCTTAGAGTTTCATCAATTTTATCTGTTTTAACTATCCCAAATAGGTCGTCAACGTATATCGTCATTATTCTAGGCTTAGAGACCATTTCTTCAATACAGTTATCTAATAACTCTTCCATAATAATATCTGCTATGATGAGTGAAACTGGTGAACCCATCTAAGTTTATAAATAAGTTGGTGTTTATTGAAATTCATCCTTCAATATGTGTAAGTCACCCATAGCCAACGAAAAACCTAGCGTTTTTATTAGATTACATGTAATAGGCAAATCTCACTTTTCTCCTTTTCTGCAATGGTTATAACTTATGTGGCTATCCGACCTTTTAAACCGATTGTTACAAGAAGAAGTGGAGAGAAAATTGTTGACATATCTAATTTGGTAATAAAACTGTCAAAGAAGAGTACCTCAAGGAAAGCTTATAAATAAAATTGAAAGACTTACATCCTTTTCGGTCATATATTTATTGATGTAAGGACTCTCTGGTATTTTAGGCCAATCAGATTTTTTTTTATTTTTTGACGTAGTTATGCAACTATTAAAATGTGTTCAATTTAAATAAAGAGTAATCAGTTGTAGAGATTAGGTGTGGTTTTGAACAAGATTTCTTTCCTATATCTTTCCTATATTTTGATTTTAAATAAGTTGAATAAGTTGAAATTAAATGCAACCAAATCTGATGGATACGCTAAATGTGGTACGGACTCATTCGATTTTACGATTTATTTAAATTACGCACTCGCTTCCCAATAAGGTTTATAAACTTCTAAAATTTTACGTGACTTAACGAAAATATAAGGTTAGACACAAATCTTTTACTGTGCGAGACTACGATATCAATGCTGGAGTTCCTCGGTATAGTGTTTTTGGGCCGTTTCTATACTTAATCTATACAGCTGACATTTCACAATACCCAAACAATTTGCTGACGACACTGCTATAGTCAGTACCACCGTAGCATCACAAAATTTGTCCAGGCACCTTGGATTAATTGGAAAGTGGGTTGCTAAATGGAGAATCAAAATAAATACAACTAAATGCTTTCAAGAACCTTCTACTCTACTCTACTCTTCTCATAACTCAATCACATTCTGTGCGATATCTGGGAATTCATCTAGATAGAAGGCTTACGTGGAGAGGTCATATGTAACCAAATGATGCCAGTTAAATCTTAAATATAAGGAATTGTACTGGCTTCTAAACCACAACTCTAAACTCAGTCTGGGCAACAAATAGTTAATTTACAAATCAATATTAAAGCCAATTTAGATATATGGTATAGAACTGTGGTGTTCAGCGTGTAACACAAAACAAGAAGAAATCTAAAGAGTAAAAAATAAAATTCTCCGACAAGCTACGTGCGTTCTGTTGTATGTCAAACACAAAACCCTTCACAAAGATCTAAATCTTCCAACTGTTCAAGAAGTAATTCGACAATATACATCTTAATTCCGAGAGAGACTCAAGTCGCATTCAAATATTCATGTTCGACATTTATCGTCTGTAACTGCACTAAATCACTTTAAAAAAAAATCATTGATAAATATGAATACCCTACCTCAATAGCATACATGTTAGTTTTTTAAAGATTCGCAAAATTATTTTCAATTTCTATTTAGAAAGATTCAATAAATAAACCAATGAAAGAAAAAAAAACATGGCTATCAAAAAAAGAGAAGCTTCCATATTTGAGAATAAGCTGTACTAAAGCATCTAAAAACTGCCTTATTAAACTTTTTAAAACTTATTTATGCAGTTATCAATGACATCTGAAATCGAGAAGTTACTTCATGTGAGAATTTCAAAGATTTTATCAAGCTTTCTATGGTATTTGGTGTTTTAACGACCATTCCAGTTGCGATTTGCACTTAGTGGATCTGCAGATTGATGGACAATATAAACAATATTATAACAAATCTTAAATATTATACATTAATATATAATATATAATTCTTGATTAAAAAAAATCAGTTTTACACTACCAATAGATTCATTATATATTTGCAACTAATACTTTTTTTCGACTTCTTACTTTATTTTTGCCAGTAACCTGCCTCCGTCTTCCGCCCTACGCCTTGTGCCAGTATTTTATTTAAATAAGTTTTGTCAGTCAACTTCAAAACACCAAAATTTTGTTTGATTTGATGCTAAATAAGCCTTTCGGCGTCACTTAAACGCAACTTAATCCTTTCCAAGTTTTTTCATCTCATTACAAGAACTCCCAGCAGGTGTCAGTGAATAATTAAGTTTCAAATTTGATAAAATCAACCTGCAAATAAGATGGGATTATCAACTTCAGCTGCACACGCAATTTCGTATTTTTGAAATGTACGCCAACTAATGAAATTGTGTTTTTCCAGAACCAAAGCCTTCTCATGTTCCATTTAAACTTTTCATCCCCAGAATCTGAATCTGAAACCTCTTAAGTAGCAGAATACGCCTTTTAAATATTCTGATACTCTCTTAATTAAGTTAGATATATTAACTGTAGGGAAATTTGAACTAAATTTTGCTCTTTTGAAAGATATGCCTTTGGTATTTGACACGTTGACCTCCTAAATGAATTATTCGTTTTAAATTGCAAAAAAAAAAATAAATTTGGATGCAAAAATTTAATTAAAATTATAAATAAAACTTAAAGAAATAAGAAGTGGGTTTTTATTTAGTGACATTAAGTAGAGTTTATATGAGTTCGACATTGTTAAAAATATTTTTGAAGGGATATCTACTGAATTAAAGATGTCAGAATTATCAAAAAGAAGAGAGTGTTGTGATTATTTTTACATAATTTACAATTTCATTTACAGCAAATATATCTTTGGCAACTTACTTACTTACTTAGTTGGCCATAAGAGACGTAAGTCGTCCTTCACTGCGTCAAGAACGCCTTCGCCAGTCAGCCCGACCAGTTGTTTGGTTCCAAATCCTCGCCCACCTGGTTCTTCCACCTAGCGTGCGGACGTCTTCTACTTCATTCACTTAAGGGTACCGTATCAAACACCTTTCTAACCGGAACACTTTCTTCCATTCGCACGACATGACGAAGTCGCTGCCTTGTCATTGAATTTTTATGCGCTTAACTATGTCAATGTCGCGGTAAAGCTTTTGCAGTTCATCGTTCCACCTAATT